GGCAGTACTGAAACACCGTCTAAGCTGTTCGCCAATCACAACGCTCTGGGACAGCTAACCAATCACAACACATTTTGTTTTTCGGAAGGCGGGCCTTCATCAAAGCCGGAACTAATCGAGCCATTTGTGCCAGGCTGGGGAGAAAGGTGTTGTAATCATATAAATTATGTAAAAAAAATAATGTGTTTTTTGAACCACCAAGCATGAGAGCATGTTCTAGTACACCCCCAAAACAAAATCAAGACTTTGTAAAAGAGCATAATAGGACCCCTTTAAAATGGCTTAAAAACAATACATATACATGACAAAAAAATTTATTTGAATATTTAATTTTAAAATATACAGCATAAATATTCAGTGTATTGAACACGAGTATATATTGTGTTTTGGATACAAATTTAAAAAAAAAATGGTTTAAATCAGGACTTTGTTTGAATATTTGAGTGCAGTTTAGGTCAGCGTATCTTTGCAGAATGATGGTGTTTGGTATTTTTTCCTGTTAAACACATGCATGCGTGTCGCCTGCTGCAGGTGTGTGTGTGATATGTCCAGATGTTGTTGCTGATGTGAATGTGGATCTTCTGGAGCATCTGTCTGCTCACCTGCAGCTCTTCTCCTCCGTCACGCCTCGTGTTTTTCTCCTTCACCATGTGTTGTCATCCAGCGCTTTGCTTTTGCACACGTTCTGTTGTTTCGCTCTTTTCTCCAGAGGTTTTGAAGTCGTCTTTTGATGTTGGATGAACATTACTGGGGTTTTATTGCTGGGTGTGTAATAATAACACTAATTATAATTAAACAGGCCATTTTAGAGATTAATTAAAGGCAAGTTTGTTTTAACATGCAGACGGCAGTGTGTAAATGCACTGTTTTTGCATTGTAAAATCAATCAATTTTTATAGTTTTTATTCATATTTTGGTAACAATTTACAATAAGGTCTCATTTGTTAACATTAGTTAATGCTTTAACATGAATTAACAACGAACAGTGTATTTTTACAGCATTTACTAATCTTTTTTAATGTTAGTCACAGTACATCAACTAATATTAACAGATTAACTTTGATTTTAAAAATGTATTAGAAATTGTTGAGATGAACATGAACTAAGATGAATAAATACTGTATAGGTATTGTTCATGTTAACTAATATACAGTAGTTAACTAATGTTAACAAATCAAACCTTATTGTAAAGTGTAACTAATATTTTGAATTCGTTTTTGTATATTTGGTTTTTGTTCTAATTTTAGTTCATTTTTTAAATAATTTTGTTGCTTGTCATTTTTTAAATGTCTATATATATTTAAATAATTGAGCTCAGGATCGCAGGAAACTGGGTCAGAGCGCTTCCTCTATTCAGCACCATATGTTACTCCACCACACCCTGAGGGAAAATCTCTCTCACACACACACACACTCACTCGCTCGCTCGCACGCACACTAACACACACACACACACACACACACACACTCATTCGCTCGCACGCACGCACACTAATACACACACACACACACACTCACTCACTCATTCACTCATACACACACTCACTCACTCACTCACACATACACACACACACTCACACTCACTCACTCACTCACTCACTCACTCACTCACTCACTCACTCACACACACATACACACACACACTCACTCACTCACTCACTCACTCATACACACACTCACACTCACACACACACTCACTCACTCACTCACACATACACAC